AGTTTGAAGTTTACGCTGTTTGACAGTTTCGGTTGTGTGGCAAAAAGTTGAAACTGTTTTGCTAAAAACAATGACAACGAATACCAGAAATGGCTGGGGAACTGGGGGAGTTGCAAAGCGCTTTCGTATAAATCGAAATATTATCAAGATGCCGCCGGGTCGCGCATCTCAACTCAACTGCTGCTAAATTGCTTGGCAACTCAATCTTTCTGTCTCCCTCTCTCGCTTTATTATCAGAAAGAGTATCTGATGTGAGAGTACACGAATGCCAGTTAAGCGGTTTGGTAAACAAGTTTTTACCTACACAAGATATGTAAGTAACATATATATATATATATATATATTTATAGATAAATTTATGTATGGGAAATTTATGTTCTATAATATTGGCCTGGCAAATTTTCCTTTTGGTTAGCTTGCATGTATTTCATTTCGGCTCAACACTTTGTTCCTGGATTTGGGTTCGGTCTTGGGGCTAGCCGTACATATAAATAACATAAAAATGAAGCGAATTCAACCTCAAAGTTCAGTTCAAATAACCACTCAATAGATCTAAACGAAACGCTGGCAACTTTCGCATTTCATGTGCATACAAAATGCCCGCCGGCTGCCGTCAATAGACGATGAATTTAAATATGCCCCAAATTGAGTATTGGGCACGTAATAAAAAAAATCCAAAATATAAGAGAAGGAAACACAGCCGGGTAAAGACCAGTTTGGGCTGGGGTACGGCAGACAGGCCCTGCAGCTCCTCGAATGGGGCCGTGTTATGTATGGCATCGTAAATAAACCCTTTTTTTACTTAATCCAAATTCGTCCTCGGGGAACAATTTGTTACACAATTTAAAGAAAGAAAAGAGAAAAAACTGAAAATAAAAAGAGATGCGCAGAGTTTACACTTCAAGTGTGCTGGACTCGTCCGGAACAGGCGCTTAGATTTGGTCCAGGTCCGACGTTGACCCAGCCGTGCCTTGTGTGTGCGTGTGTGTGTGTGTGTGTGTGTGTGTGTGTGTTCCGTGCTTTTGCTCCCCTGCCCGGACATGGGGTCAGTTTGGCTAAATGTATCTACATATATTGTCCCTTTTCAGCTGCAATATTTTCGCCATAAAATATTTATATATTTTTTTTCCTTCCGAGTAATAAGGTTTTAAATTTCTATTTGGAAACACATTTTTGATATGCTTACATAAAGAATATGCAGCAAAAAAATGAACCAACAGGACGAATATAAAACGAAAGGATTGCCTCCACCACATTTGTATCCTTGCCTTCGCTCCCCTCACTTCTTGTCCGATTCGGCAACTAGAATTTGCCGCTAAGATTCACGCTGGGAAAATAGCATATACTTGAAGAAAGGTATTCCCAGGCACAAATAAAATTGATTTTCTTCAGTGAAACTTTTAGTTCTTAGTTTACGATTCAAATTAGTTTTAACAAATTCAATATTTTTATATTATTATCGATATTTTGATGAACATGGAGATCTAGTAATAAAGAGCTCTGAGTTAGTTTTATTATCTTGTTAAAAAAAAAATAAAGCTTTCGGAAAAGATATGTGGCAATGGTTTTTCGATCTATAAATTTGAAGCTTTCTACTTGGTTTGTTATTGCCGTCATATTAATCCATATTATTGAAATCTAAAAACAATCTAAAAAAAATTAAAAAAAAAGAATATTGAAATCATCTGTAGGTTGAAAGCACATTAAAGCTTACTTCTAGTTTAAAAGCTCGTTTCCTTCTTCCATTATATCTGGCTTTGCCTTTGAAAGGACGAAAGCTTTTGCCTTATTATTTTAAAGTCAAATACTTTATTAGCAGAATATATTCTTCTGCTGCTTAGTTGAGCTTGCGACCCCTATTTCTATTTCTATTTCTTCAATTAATCTAATGGGAGCAATACAAATGTTAAAAATTCTATTTCTCGGCCCATAAGCTGTTGTATTGTCAAAACTTACTTGACTGATATTAATTTAAATTACATAAAATCACATTCAAACCTTAAGCTTTGAATGCCAGAATCTTATTGCTTTCAAAATGTACGATTATTCGTTGCTTCGGAGAGCGGGCAAGTTTCTATTGTTGCGCTCGTTTACAAGATTACTTTTGACAGCATTTCGAGCTTTGGACTTGGCTGCTTGTAAAAGTAGCTGCTTTATTGGGCAAATGAATGGAAAGTGTAATCAGCTCAGCTGGAGCCTTTTGCTGCCTGCCTGCAAAGGACAATAAGAAACAACAGCAACTGATGACTACAAAAACAATGTCGGCCGACTTTCAAAAATTAGCGGAAACGGAAGCCAATCAGCAGTCAACGGAAACCGCATTGTGTGCCGCAGTACTTCAATTTCGTGGCTTCGATTATGATGAGGCGCCTCGCCGGCGTTTTCCGCTCTCCACAACCCCTTAGCCATCCCCTGTCCACTCGTGGAGCGGCAGCTGCAGCGGACTTTGGCTTTGCGGTCAGTGCCGAAAATAATGGCCAAGAGCCAAATTACGTTTCCGCCCAGTCGGCAGCGCAGCTCTCGCTTGGCCGGAAATTGTGAAAAATCAACTCGGTCAAAGGCCACACACACACACACACATACTTATGTGTAATGGGTCGGTGGCCAGCTCTGTGGGGGTATGGGCAAATTGAGTTTCATAAGGAATATTACCGCTTAACGAGCCGATTTCAGTGTAAATTTAACTTGAGCCAAAAATGTTGCACTACATTCATGAAATGCCCCCAAGAAAAGGTCGCTGCATGAAACTTTAGCTACCATCCAAGAGCAGAAGCATGCGGCAAATCGTTCGCATCTTGCGAAATGTCTGCGAATTTTATAATGAAATTCCACAGAGTTTAATTATGCCGAAGGCATTTCAGCCAAAAGTCGCCGCTCGTCTTCGATGCCGGAATTTCGGATTATTGCTGTTTAAGTATTTGTGTTAATGCAGTTGCCTTGAAATTTGCATTACATTTAAATTATTCATACGATGTGCAATTTAAGTGCCGTTCGATTTAATTTTCGTACAAATTAGTAAAAATAGATTTTTGATGTTTGAAAGGAAGAATATCCGAATATATCGAATCTGATATATTTAAAACTTATACAACTATATTTATGCTAGTATTTTTCCATTCCTGTATTAGCTCGAAATGCTGTCATACCGGACTCTTCCGGCTTTTCGTTCTATTTAGAAACTATAAATACTACTTAAATATTTCAAAAATGAATAAGCTTTAAATATTTGTTAGAGCTTGCGTGTTGGAAAAAGTAAGAGCATAGAGGGCAAGCTAAAGCTGGGCGAATTGTTCCTACACAATTTTCCTTTGGACTATTATGAAGCTTTGAAGTAGGAATATTACACAGGAAAATTCTGGGAAATGCGAGGAATCAAAACATAAGGCTATTCGGAAAATGCCTGAGATGCACCCGCTTTTTCTAGAATTAAAGTGCTTCAGTAATGCGCAAAGAGTTTAATTATTCAAGATATTTGGTCTTTTATTGGATCGGATTGTTATTATTTTTTATATAAATTTCTCTTTCCTTCAAAAGCGAATTAAATTTTCCCATGGAATACACTTTTTGCCTTACCTTACCTTACTCGATTCACCAATTAAGTTTCGCAACTTTTTGACAATACAATTTTAACAATTTCCTGGTAACTTTTATAGTGAAGGCGAAAAGTTGGCATCAACTATCTTTTTTAAATAATTCATTTCCGATTTAAGCTCGGGCAAACACTCGAAAGATATCTCGATAACATTCATACAGCATAGTTCGTACCTTATCTTAGTTTACGTGATCGCACGTATGCGCATTCGTTAGCCTTAACTAAAGCTGCGTGCAAATCCCCCACAGGACATAAATTATACATAAAAAAAAAAATGTGTCCAAATGTGTGCCCGCATGCTTGTGGCCCCATGGCCGTCCGGGTCAGGTGAAACGTGAGAAGTTTGAGCAAATGTCGCCCGAGAACTGAGAAGTGAAAACTGGGAAACTGTTGCAGCAACATATTCGATAATTAAATAAAGCAACAAAATGCCAATAATTTGAATTTGAATAAACACGCGAATGCTATTTAATTTTCTGATTAGAGTCGGACGCAAAGGCGGCCCGCGGCAAAGTTAAAGCTGGCGCAGCTGCTGGTCGTGGCGCCTGTGAAATTAAATAAGTTGGGGCAACCGCTAACGAGAAAGGTGTCTGGCACTAGGAATTAATGTGGCGGTTATGTGAAGCCCCTGGCAGTGGCTGTGGCTGCGGCTGCACAACCAACACCACCAACTGCACCACCAGCAACATCAGCGGATCCGGATGGGGATGCGGGTGCGGGTGCAGATGCGGAAGCCTGCGCAGCGACGGCGCGTAAAATTGCAGGCGCACATGTGTTCAGAGTTTAATCTGTTTGGGCAACACGAGCGCCTGCCGACAACTTGGAAAACTTCTTCTCTGGCGGCAAACAAGGTAACACTAACTTCGCCTGGCAGGCCGGCACAGCTGCTGGCGAGGCGCGGGCGACAGGTGGGCGCGGGCACACACAATAATGCACTAAACGCACAAAATGAAATACAAGGCAGTTTGTCTCGCCATCGCCCCACCGGAGTGGTGACTCCGTCCACCCGCGCTCTGCCAACACTTTTGGACAGGTTAAAACATAGTCGCTAAAAATGTTAAAGTTTTCACTTTGCGCGTTGGCAGCAAACTAATTTTCAATACCGGGCAAAAGTCTTGCACCTGCCGCTGCTCGCACTTAATTGTAATTGCAAATGAAGCTTTTTATTGCTCTCTACGAAAAGTCACATGCGTAACACTGATAAAGAATTGAACACGACAAATTATAATCTGAATGATTAATCAGCATCAACATCCGCTTATTCTATGACCTTTGGCTACCTTAGATTATTTTGTACATTTATTGTGAATATAGAATTTTTTTAATACTTAATAACAGTCACACTCGCTATAAAAAGGGAAGTCAAACGCCGGTTCGCCCAGTCTTAACGCTCGGGAGATCACAATGGCTTTTTTAAAAAAGCTTTGCACAATATTAATTATTCATGTATTTTTTTCACATTCCGATTGCAATCAAATTGCAGAGTTTAGCGAGGCTAAATCACAAGTAGCCGAGTTGAGGTGAGTTTTATTACGGATACACAAATTTTATCTGATTGAAGTCACTTTTTAGAGCGGAGGGAGAACGTCAGGGAAAGTTGCTTCAAGAACTAATCGGGAATCATGATCTAGATTCCGTTGAACCTCACGCACACAGCTGCTATGAAGCAGCAGGTCAAGCTAGCGGTATTTGAGATACAAGTTCGCGGTTTTAGCCTCAAGACGTTCAGGGTTGTATGCGAACAAAACAATTACGGTAACGGCTGGACTATAATTTTGCGACGCCAGGACGGAAGTGAGGACTTTTATCGTAATTGGAATGACTACAAAAATGGCTTTGGCGACCTGGAAGACGAGCTCTTTATGGGCTTGGAAAAAATCCATGCAATAACTGCCGCTCAAAGACAAGAGCTGCTGGTTCTACTAGAGGACGAGGACGGTGAACAATCATACGAGAGGTATGATAGGTTTGCGATTGGAGATGAATTAGAATCATTCGCGTTACACACGCTTGGGAATGCGAATGGAACAGCTGGGGATTCATTCAAATATCATCATGGTCAAAAATTTACAACTTATGATCGGGATAATGATTCTAATCAGCTGAAAAACTGTGCGAAGACTCGCAGTGCTGCCTGGTGGTACAAGTCCTTTTGTGAGGTAGGAACACTTCAACGTAGTTTCAGGTTTTTCTTCTAATTTATTATTCAAACAGCAACTTAAATGGAATATATAATAATAACGTCAAGGGCATATACTGGGGAAGCTTTAAAGATGTGGACCACTCATTAAAACGGGCAGTCATGATGATACGGCCAATAATCTAATCTCAGATTTTACTTTTATGATCTCAATTATTATTTGAACATAAATATTTAAAATTAAAATTTATTGAACGGATTCGTCCTTTTTAATACCCTGAACCCATTAAAAATGGGTATAAGGGTATACTGTATAAGGGTATATTTTAGATCACCAAACTTGACATATAGCTTCTAAAATAGAATATATATATGCATTTGATGTTGGAAGAAGACTATCCCCTAGTCGGGAGCTCCCGACTAGAACCTATTACTTGTTTATCTTTGTATACCTTTATTTCAGGACTCGTTCAACCGTTTAAAAGTCAGATCATGCTTTCTCTAGAATACCAACACTTATACATCGCTGTTACTCATATTTCGTTACATATGTACATCGCTTCAGTCATATTCTTAATTATTTATTACAATCTTTACATTACTTCCATTTCTTATATTGAGCTTACTTTATACAATATTATCAATCAAAGCTTGCTTGGACAGGCAAAGCGAGACCTTTTGTTATGAAACCGATCTGTTATCAGTTGAGGCTGCAATAACGTTTTTATATTGTATTTATATAATACTTTTTTATGTCATTTAACACAGTAGTCAGTTGCCATTTAGTATCGAGTAGTAGCCGACAACAAGAACACCATAACGAAAACGACCCGAATTGAAATAGAGAGAAGGTGCACATTGATACACAAATAAGTAAATAAAATGTAATTTTTTCAAATTATTGTAATAGAGCCCCTCCTCGCCGCACATCCCTCTAACTTTATACTTAACGTATCTTATAGACTAGATATGCACGATGATAGATATCGCATACTACTGTATATATATGTTAATATATGAATGTTACAGGGTATCTCCTAGGTGAGCTCATCCGATATGTGATGCTTCGCATATGGCTTAGGGCTATCAGGCTAAAGCAGCATAACTGATTAAATCGGAATTTAAGCTCAAGTGTTAATACCCTTTCACTTATAGAAAAGAGCATATTTGTTTTTTGGGTTTCTTTTTTTCCGACGTTATTTAATGATCGAAAGATCCGAGATCCGGAATACATACTCTTCTATACACCCGACAAGCAAAGTATTAAAATATTTGGAAAGAGGACTACTGACGAGTTCTTCTAAAGATCGATTTGAAAACATTTTGCCTACGCCAACTGGATGGGTGGCAAAGGCATAAGCTGATATTGGATTCGTACGTAGTCGGCTAAGCCTGACCGCAACATTCATGCTTGCCACATGTAAACCGTTTGAATGGACTTTAAAGTTTTAGAAATTTCGTAAGAGCTGTTGTTGTTGCCACGCCCCTCTAACTAGGGACAAGTGAGGCGCAAATGACCTGCTGCCTGGGCGTTAATTAAAGTCAATTTCAGCAAAAATTTTAATTCCGCAAAAACAAATACGAGCACTACCAACGAGCCAAAAAGGCCAACATGCAACAGAGACAACATTCTGCCATGTTTGCTGGCAGCTGGTTGATGAAAATGCGGGGCAAAATGCTGGGAAAAACTGGCAAAACTGGGTGGCGAACAGAAGCCATCAGCATTCAGTTGTGTTTGCGCAGCCGTGAGTAAAAAATTCAAAAACATAAACGGAAATTACCACAAAATAGAAACCACAGACCTTGTACACCCCTCGAACACACACACTCACTCACACACATACATATACACACAGGGCATGCATCCCACAGAGAAATTTTGTTGTTGTTGCTACGCCGCAATCTAACAGGACAATCTTTTGATTAACATTCTTGGCATTTTGGGGGGAAATTAGTTTTTATGTTTATTACCTGAGCCATTACATCGCATGGAAAATGAACTTGTTGAGAGCATTTTCTCCTGATACCCTGTAAACAGAAAAATGCAAGAAGAAGGGTGAGTTTCAAACTGATTAAAGATACTTGAGATAAGAGTTCAGGACTAGAGTCTGTTTAGGATGTGGAGAGTCAGTCCTTTAAGTCTTAAGGCCTATTTAGAAGAAATGTGTCCACAAGATTTTCTAAGGGTTGCGCCAGCCCATACCCGTTGTTCCTCTATTAGGCGGACACTCTTAAGTGATCACTCATTATTCGACAGTCGCTGTCCTCCCATGAGAGTTGTTACTATAATATGCATTTATAATTGCGTCGGTGAAATATATTTCTTATATATTTTCAGGCAATTCCACGCCAACTACACCTAATGTCAACAGAAGTGACTAAAGTACAATTTTAAATCAAACGATGAAATTTCTAACCAATTTTATGTATTGGAGGACTTTTCGACATCAGCCAGTTTTAGGATCAGGTGACCATAAATGTTGCTCAAAAAGTGTCTGGCACAGGGTATATGCTAGTCGACTAGCTCTCATTAGCTTCTGTTTTTTTCGTGCTTTTTCAGCTTTGATATGATATAACAAAGTCCAAAGTCCAAAGCTGCTGGCCGGTGAAAAGAAATGATCGCAATCAATACTTTCTGGAACGAAGCGGATGAGCTTAATTAATGCAAATGGTAGCCGCTCGTTGATTTTAATTTAGATTAGAGACTCTTATTATGTAAATGCTGGCAAATCGAAATGAGTCAACGAAATTCACAGAAATCCCGTTAAATTCCATTTAGCACCTGCAGCTCGTCCTGTCCGTTCGGTTCGTTCAATTAAGTAATTAAATTTCTGTGTCAAGTTTCGATTTAAATAAGAGCACCTGATACGGACCTTGTCGTTGTCATATGTTATACGAAATTAATAAATGTTGAGTTCATATTGCAATATAAGCTGACATTTTAATTAACTAATCAAAACCAACGTTTGCCTTATTTTCGCCCACATTCACAGGTTTATTTGTTCAGAGCGTACACATAAATTCAATTTTCATCTTTTCGGTAATCGCATTTGGCCATGAACGTTCCGGCTCCGGCTCCGGCTACGGTGCAGGCTCCGATTCTATGCTGAGGCTTGGCTGCGGGCATTTTGTTGCAGCTGCAGTTGGCATTTGTGCCTTCTAAGCCTGCCGAGCATTCCCCGAAGCTGCATCATGCTGCATGGCCATGGCCGTAAATCAGTGGGAATTATTTGTCACATGCACACAACTTATGCAAAGATAACGTATATTAATTTTGCACCTGGCCCAAATGTAACTAAGAGCTGCATCAAAAATGCCAGAGGCAATTTATTAGTTATGAATATTAGAAATATTCACATTTTCGCATTACATTTTAGCAATAATGCATTTTGCAATTGCCAACTAGATAGCTTTCAATTCTGGCTCCTAATTAAAATCAAATATCTAAACTCTCTTTATACAGCAGACGGACTTATTTTCGCCGAAAATTCACATTTATTGATATAATTATGTTTAGGGTCGGACTATCCAAATATTTTGAAAAGAACTGGTTAGAGTCCACGCAAAAATAATTGACATTTTCTTTAAATTTATTTATTGATGATAAGTTATAGAGTCAAACCTCGTGAACATCGCTTGAGTTTTGAGCGAGTTAGGGGGGTGGGAAATTTCGAACTATGTCTATATAGGATATATTGTTTTTAAAAAAGTGCTTCAATTGCAGTACTATATAAATTATTTAAATTTAAAAACAACCCTATTTGCGCATATTATGTTTCTTATCGAAATAAGCATGCATCATCAGTTTACAACATACGCAAACATATAATTTTTCTCGTTCATTGTTTTAAGTCGGGCTTAAGCGCAGCTACGATGCTGATGATAAGCAGCCTATTTTGCACCTGCAATGAAAGGAGCATCAACAAGAAATAAAACATAACTTGCATTAAAAGTATTGCCCATTTTGTTTATTGTGCTTTACAGCCCCTCGCTAGCCCGTCATCTATGCATGAACATATACATAATAAAAGGAACAAAGCGGAAATGCTTTCAAGTGTAATGATAAATGAACGCAAACTCTGAACATAAATCAACACGGTGGGAGTTGGGAGGTGGGATGGGCGTAGTTGAGGGCTCGGGTTGGGATCTCCAGATGCACCTCAGGCCGTGCTATGATGCTGCTGCTGATGGGTTAAGCCCAACTTCAGCGGCGAACTAACAACAAACAGGCTTGCTGCTGTCCAACCCAGCCCCGCCCTGCCTTCCTTGTCCGTACGCCCCTTTTGGATGATTTAAGCGCTGCTGCTCGACTCCAAATGTGTTGTGGGAAATATGCATAAAAGCAACACCGGTAAAATATACAAAAAAAAAAGATGAAGACTAACGAATTTTGTATATACATAAATGCACGCATATAGTACAATATTTTTAATTTTTCACATTTTTTTCAGCAAGTGCAAAAAATAAGAAATAATAAAAGTTCAGCGCGATGGCAGGCAACGACAAGCGAAAGGTGCAGCTGCCACGCCCACGCCCACGCCCACATACACACCCGCACACAGAGCCCGCAGAGAACTGGTGCCCTCCCAGCTAACCCCCCGCCTCGCCGCCCAGAGCCGCAGGCAATGTAAGGCACCCATGTGAGCCATTGCACACGTATTCACATTCACAGCCACATTCACATTCACATTCGCCGAGTCGCATCCGTTTCGGGTTGAAACATTTTTTTCGAAATTGCATTGTGAATAATGTAGTGTTAATTCTCGTGAGTGCCATGTTCCCTGTTTTATGGGTTTAATGCTTTTGTTTATTGGTCTGCTGTTGTATCAAGCGCGCGTACGAGTCCGAGTACTCAGGGACACACAGGGCTCAACTCATCTAGATCTGGTAGCCGGGCATCGGTGCCACCCTAAAGCGAACTGTTGTTTCTGACATTTGACAAGAAAATGCATTTCACTTGATATTTAGCCTTTAGTTATCGCAAGTTTTCCATGCACCACGCATTGCCATAAATAAAAGTTTCATTTCCTTTGATCCCATACATATTATTAATTGCCAAATAATAATAGCAAAGCAATGCCATAAATATTGATAGGAACTGACAGACAAATGCTAAAATTCTACCCTAATAGCGGCTCAACACGAAGGTTACTTTTGTAATGTCACAAGCTTTTGAAATATGCATTTGCTAACTTAGAAAGAATGGTATCCCTATTGTCAATCTGGATATATCAGCTTTCTAAATGTTGGAATATTTAGGAAAGCGAATACGTGGAACGAAGTATTCATTTCATTCTCAATAACTATTATAGATTTCGATAGATAACATTTCATAAGTTTTACACCTTTTAATTTGGTCATCAATAGGTAAAGAAACAATAAATTTAAAAATTAGCTGGAAGCTAATCGCACCAAACTTTTGCTCGTATAACCTTTGATACCGTTTTTCCGCCTTTGATACCCATTTTCCACTTTACATCCCCATTTCCCACCTTCGATTATCTATTATACATCAAGTGTGATACAAGACCTCAATGAATTTTTACAAAAATCTTTGCAAATGCGGCCTCATCTGCTCGAACCGTATGCAAAAGGTTTCATTTAACCATTTTCCACGCATTTTTCACAGTTGCAGGTGAAACCCCGCCATAGCAGGCTGTGCGTTAAAGGCCAATCACTCCTGATTGACACAGAAACAAACTTCCTTATCGCTATAAATGTTCTCGTCTACCATAAATGTAGATCATTTTGGATATGATTGGATTGCCAAAGAATGTAGGGTATACAATCTTCGTCGCCATGCCCATAACTATATTTTTCCTGGTTTTATTGATTAAAAGTGTTCAATTGTATCTTGTTCTGTATAAAGCAAAATGTATGGCATTGGCCGACACTTAAATTGATTTTTTATCGCCTTTCAACACGACAAATTTTTTGCTGTCATGCATAAATTACGAGCGAGTTACTAATGGACAATCAATAATTATGATTGACAATAGTATATATGTTCGTTTTTTGAATCCAATTCGCGTATCAATTAATTGATTTTTCAGCGCATTTCAGAAAATGTCACTCGCTCTTCATAAATACACGAGTTCACTTTGTTACATATCAAGTTATAATAACACAACAAAAAGGATGATTGATTATGCGTTCATTATGTATTTTTCTGTTGACCACTTAAACGCAAATTGTTTGCAATTGTGCCATCTGTAGTTTTAATTACAGTTCCAAAACATTTAATTTAAAGTTTGATTCGTGTTTGGAACAAATAAAAGATAAAAACTTTAACATATTCGAAAAGTTGTTCCATTCAATTCATTGTTTCGATTTGTTTTTTCAGTTAACCTAGTTATGTGCATGTCAAATTCTGATTGTAAATTTTTGCCAAAAGTATTTTCCACAACAATTTTACAATTTAGCCACACACACCCTGACAACAAATATATGAAAATAAAATTACAAATGTCAAACACAAGTTCATTAAGAAATTTTCTATTAAGTTTTTGCTCCATCATGTTCGATTGTTTGTTTTAGACATAACTAACAGGTAAGAGTGCACCAGCAGAGAGTGATTTACTTGAAGATACCCTGGAATGAAGTACTTATACGAACTATACTTTTTTTAGTATTACAAGTGTTTAGAATCAAAAATACAAAAGTAGTTTAGGCAAATAAACAATTAAATAAATATATGATAAATCAAAAATTAAAATCTGTTAGAAATATATTTGTTTAATACACTTTTAACTGGGTTAGCTGGATTACTTATAATCCCTAAGACTACCTCAACCATAAGTTATCGTTACTTAACGTTTTTTTATGGTTACAGGGTATTTAAAAGAAAAACACTTGTATACAGACATTTCAATTATTTTCCGGTACTTTTAGAAATTTTCCAAGTTATTTAAACTTATCATATTTAACAGCTCAATAATAATAAACACACAAGAACATGTGTATGTTGGCACACATATACATTTATATATATATATATATATATATATATATATATATATATAAACATATATGCATATGTGTATCAGTAAAGAAGCCATCCGAAACATATGGCAGATGTGCACGCAGGTTCGTCGGCTTGCCGAATAAACAATTTTAATAATTTCGTTTTATGAAAATTGCGCTCGGGTTAAATGGTTCGAGAAGAATGCGAGGAAGGAAAACTCGTAACTTTTTATGTTTTGTAAGCGTAACCAACGGACCTTTGCCTCCACCCCCTTCCGCATCCCTGCTGGGCAATTGTCATGTGAGTAATTTATCTGGGCTAAGGCACAACGAAAATTTGATGCTTTGTAAATGTGGGGGCGCATTCATTTTCAGGATTGAAATTCCTTTGATTTCGTACTCAACAATCTAATCAGGAAATTTCGTGCGCTGCAAATCTCTTTTAAATGAGCCACTAATTGCAAACTGTAGTATAATCATAGACGAACCAACTTACATCCCCTCTCCCCCTTCCAGCTACATTTGTAAACTAATCAAGAGGCGCGCTTTGTTTTAGACATACAGACGCATAGATAAGGGCGGGGTGGCAACATTTCCTCAGCTGAGAAGCAATTATCGCAGATGGGAAAAAGAGTTTTTGCGCTTGTTTTGCGGCAAGTTTTTTGGGCTAACTTTGGCTTTCCATTCGATCCATTCCACACTTTTCTAACCCTCTATCGCGTTCTGTTTGTGAAGCACGTTTATCAGTGGCTAAGTTTTTACTCCTGGCTTTGGCCTTCGCCTGCTCATTGTTAACTTTTCTGCCTTACTAATGGCTATCACAGAGATAAGTTCGACTACAAGCCAAAGTTTTATTTTGTAAGCAACGTTGTTAATCTGTCGAGTGTATAAGGATTGGAGGGGGAGCCACTTGATGTGTAGGAAGGGGGGGGGGGGGGGGCGGTGTAGTGGGTAGGACGAGTGCTTTTAAAAAGTTATCAACAAGCGTTCAGCCAAAGATACGAGTGTTCTGTTAAGACTTTTACTCACACACATGTTACTGAACACACTCACACACACTCACACATGCTCACACACATTTACATAGTGCTAATCAAGTGCAGCTGCGTGCGTAATTTGTCGGTTTGATTTGCTGGCAACTTGTGGCATGTGCCACCTGCGTACTCTTTGACTTTGTGCCTTTTGCTTAATCATCAGATGTGTGAGATTAACTAATTTCTGCACTTTGCTACCAGAGATTAAAGATAAAAGCTCTTAATGATCTAACATTTTGATTAACGCTCAGGGAGTCACTTTTTTATCATTATTATTAGTATTATTATTTACACTACTGATATCCATATAATAATTATTTATTTTCTTAGTGACCTTTCCTTTTTTTAAGTTTGAATTATTTAAATTAAAAATATTATTATTGTTATTTTTAATATTATTATTTTTGTCATCATAATTACTTATTGATATCATATGTTTTATTATTTTATCATAATTTTAATTTATTTTATCAATATTATTTTTATTAAAGTGTCATGTATTGCATTTACTTCTATAGCCTTCGGTTATGACAGTTCTGTAGCCATATTATCTCCCAACTAATTGTTAGGATAAAAATACAAGTTAAATAAACTAAACTAGGGAAAAGGAATATTCCAATTGTTTTTAAAATTATCCCTAGAGCTATAATTCGACACAAGATTCTTCCACTCATTGTGCTAATTAGACTTAGTAATAATTACATCTAATTATGGCCAGTAAACAGATGTAATCTATCTGAATTATAATTCAGCTTTTAGTGTTTATTAAACAGAAATATATTGTTGCAAATATTCAAAAATTGTTAAAATCAGTTGAAATTTAACAGCAATTTTTAGATTTATATAATTCGAATTTAGTACAGCTTTAAAATAAAATTTTAATCAGCAGTTGAAATGCAAAATTTATGTATTTTCGCTGCTCGTTCAGAAATTGTCTGACAGTGCCCGGAAATATACATATATTTATAGGTGTGTGAGTGTGTGTGTGTGTGTGTGTGTGTAAGTGGGCTGGCAGGTGAATAGACAGCTATATTGTGTATGATGAGATTATTTGAATTACCTTTGCAATCAAATTGACACCACATAGACGTAACGTTACGGACCATGCGGACTGACAGGGACAGACAGTTGGACAGGCAGGAAACAGACAACGCCAAGCAAATGCGATGTATGCAATTGCAGGAGCAGCGTGACAGAGGCTCTCCGAGGGGTGCGGAGAAGAGCAGCAGGAACTCAAGGATGTCGACTGATGGGCATGCCCAAGTGGCAGTCAAGACTTTATACATTATCCATATAGAGGCATAAGCAGTGTCTGCAATAATAATTTAAATGAAATTCTCACTAATGCTCGAAACACACATTTCATGAGCAGCTGCTCGGGGCTTAGAGTAGGCTGTTAATGAGAGTAGCAAAAGGGGATTGGGCAACAACATTAGACATTTACAAAAGTTATAAGATATTGGCAGAAACAAGTACAAAAGTACAAAATGTCGGAGCTAAAATTTGAGTACAAGTGCAGCCAGTTTGAGGTGGAGGACACCGAAAACCTTTTTGGGCAAATGAATTTGCAGCCTCAGGAGGAGCAGCATGTGGCCGAGTCCAAGGAGAATTTGGATGACGATGACGAGAAGACGCTGAAGCAACAGCAATTGGAACAGGATCTTGAGCAGCTGCAACGTCGCCAGAGCATTGTGTACGACAATGCCCAGAAGCAAGTGGCTGTACTCGAGAATTTGCTGAAGACCGTTGACTCCGACTGGCAGAAGGAGGTGCCAACGGGCGCTGTTACGCAGCAAGACCCCGCGCCGCAGGCCTACCGCTTTAAGGACATCTACGAGCACAAGAAACAGCAGCTCCTGCGCCAGCGGCTCGAGCAGGAGCGTGCCCAGCGCCAGTTCCGCAGCCGTCCCATGCCCAACTTCGGCCAAGTCCATCAGCAGCTGGCCAACAAGCAGGTCGTACATCACATCACCTGTGCGGTCACACCAAATGTCCTAAAAACGTCGCGCAACATGCTGCTAAAGCGACGCCAGAAGGTCGAGCAGCTGTTGCAGGAACGCGAGCAGGAGCGGCTGCAGCAGCAGAAGCTGCGCCCCAAGACCAAGCCGGTGCCCAAGTTCATTGCAGCCCCACTGAAGCCAGCCAATGGTCAATCCTCGCAGTTTCAGCTGGAGGTCAAACCCTTCCGCCTATCCACGGAGCTGCGCGCCGAGCAGCGCAAGATATTCAATTCAAAGTCGCATCTGATGCAGGAAACCCGACGCCGGGAGCAGGCGGAACAGCGCAAACGTCTCGAGCACGAGGAGTTCAAAAAGCAGCGCCAACTGGCCACATTCCGAGCCCGACCCAATCCGTTCAAATTCCAATTCGACCAAGTTGCTCGCCAACAGTAGTCTCTCCAGATTGTTTATTGTTACGTTCAATTTTTTTGGTTCCTTTTTGCTTACCAAAAATTGGTTTTGTTTTTCCTTATGAGCTGAGTTTATTTTAGTTATTGTTAATAAATTTTACTGCAAGACTACAACAACACGCATCTGCTTCTACTTTAGGTAATTATAGCTGAAATATTTTGATATATAGTCAAAATAGAGTATTCTCTTTACTAAAACAATTTCTGTTCATAAAATATTACTGTCTTTGGAAAAAAAAATATTTGTTTTAAAAATTGAACAGATTCAAATAAATGCGTTTGTTGAAAAAAGTTGGCTTGCAAGCAATACGCGTAGCTATTGAAGAAGGGGCTGTGTAAGGGTTTTTAGAAAAAACATTGGAAACATCCAAAAATATAGTCATGATTAATAAGAGAAGCATTGGTTCATACGTATGCAAAACCAGGTTCGGAAGCCACTCTTGGAATATCATGATATATATTTAAACGCAATCTGCAAACATAACTCTGATGGATAATTGAACCCTTTCGCTTCCTTTTCTTCTTGTGTATGCACATTTTAGCTTTTTTTGCTGGGGACCTTCTTTAATTTCAATAATCATTCACACACATGTGTGCACACATTCAATTTGTTCATTTAAAATAGCTCAGGTCGGGGCTCTATCAATCAAACGCTTGCCATCCAGTCACCCATTCCCCCCTTTACTGACGACGACACCCTCCCACCGCCAAACGAATGCCGCCCACGTGTTTCAGCACAAACAATTTGTTGTAAGTGTATCAATTGATGCGCCCCGCATTCGCAAATATGTATGTATGCGTTTGGCCTGTATGCGCGCGTGTGGGTGTGTGTGTGTGTGTGCACGTCACATAATCAAAAGCACAAATACTAAAACAAGCACTCAAACTGTCAAAGCAATGATTGATAGTGTTGACATTCGCTTTTTGGCTTCAAAACGCCAAGCAGCGAGCTCGGGAGTTTTTGTGCATTGAATTCTGTTAATGGGACGTTTGTCGATTCCATACAGAAACCTCTCAGCTCCACTCCCCTCACCTCAACTCGTTTCACCTGCCTTTCAGGTGTGGGCGAATGATGAATTGCACTGCATGTGTTTATATCGAGGTTGAGTGAAATTTGTATTTATTGCAAATTTGCTGACTAAGTTTAAAGGTGAGTTTCCATTTAAAGTCAATAATTTAATGCGAAAATGTAGCAGAAAAAGGCTTGTAAATGTTTTTTCTTCAATCTGTTTACGCAGCCGATGAAATATGCAATGTCATGATACATTTTATCCAACTATTTTTTATAAAAAAATAGTTAAAGCATAAAAACATAATTTTCACATTAAATTAAAATTGAAGTATAACTAATTAAAATAAAAGTAGGTATTTTTCTCTGAAAATTGAATTAAACAAATTTGATTTATTTGCTATTCAAAGTTTACAAAAAAAAAATGCAAGTCAACCCAAGCAGTTAATCATTTTTTTACCAGGTTTCAAAATCAATTCTTAGTAAGTTTTGAAATAAAAACTAAATTTTTATATATAAATTGAACAAATTTGTTTATTTTTAAATGGTTACCCAAAATTAATAATTGTATCTTATATTTATTAATTGAAATTAAAGCTCGCATCTTGAAATGCGTTATTTAAAAGAGATGGAAATAAATTTATCGCATGCAGCTCAAAAATAAATGTTAAATCAACATTTTCAGCTTCCCCGCTAACGGTTATCTTTGAAACTGTGCTAACGGTTAACGGTATAACAGTTTACTTTGCCTCTGTTGTCAATAGATGGCGGACTGTTTTAACAGACTGTTAACCTTACAGAGTAAAGGCTGAGTATTAGCTGCATTAAATTGGAATAAAAGCAAATGAATATAATATATATATCTATATATAAACGTAATTGATAAAGTTAGCTTTGATAATTTATGAAGTTCTTTTCAAATCTTTGGATATAGAAACCAATTCATATGCTAATTATATAGATAATACTCGATTTAAAACTGTAATAATATTGAAGCTAAGTGTTAATATCGAAATATAAAAAAATGTTTGAAGAGAGCTACAGGGAGCTGAAGCTTATCATGGAACAATGTTCTAAATTTGATATGCTTGTCTGCGTGTGTGGCTGAGGGTGAGCTGGGGTTTTGAAGGGGCGTGTGCATGATTTTACGTTTGGTTTTTATGCGTGGGTTGTGGGTTAAATAAGACGCTTGCTGGATGCAAACAATGGACGGGTGTTAAAAAGACAAGGGTTTTGGTGGGGAGATGGATTTGGCTGGGCTACGGGGCGGATGCGTGTTGACGAGTCGCCGGCAATCTACCGAGTTTCGCTGGCTTTTTGTTTGCGGCTTGGCACAGTGGAATTTAATAACGTGCTGATGCATGCAAAATAACGCATAAAAACGTAAAAATGCACACGCAAAAAAAGGGGCAAACAAATTACAACACCACACACAAACACGCACAGGCAAACAGAGAGATACAACCACAACAACACACACACAGAACGCGTCTGCGAACCGAGACTGCTCCAGTAGCTGCAGTAAAACAATTTTCGCAGTCAATTTTCCTTTATGAGCGGAAAATATCTCGCTGTGAAAATATGATACGCATATTGGCAGCCATCAGCCGAAGGCAACAACCCGCACGCCCAACCCAACCCCACAATCCACAGCTCTTGACGCTCGAATATGCAAAAAATTTGTGTACCACTTTAATTGAAACGGCAAATACTGAGTTAAATCAATCGAAAACAAAATAAAACACAAATTTCAATCAGATAGTCAAAAAAAAGGAGAAAATGAGAAAAACAAAGTGGAAATAAAAAAGTGCTAAAAAGTTCTCGAATTGCGACATAAAACGGCAACAAAAACTGAAGGTAGGACGAAGGCAACGCATTTGCTGCATAAAGTCAAAGTCATTAAAAAGTAATGTCATTCCGTCAACCAGACAGCCAGCCACGCCCACATCTACAATTGCCTTAAAGGGGTTGGGGGGTCTAAGAGCCTGTCTCAACTCCTTCACTGGCAGGCGCTCCATTAATGATGGATGATGAATACTCGAGTCTTGAGTCCTGAGTGGCGACTCGACTGGCGGCTGTTGCGCACCGAAAAATGATTTGATGAAAACATTTGAAATTTTTATCGGGTGCAAATTTATGCAGAACTGTTGATGTCATCGCCGTTGCCCCTGTCCTCGCCCTTGCCCAAGCCTGCGTTGGCCACAGAAAAATGATGACGATGCGAGTGACGTTGAAATATGAAGCGACATTACCTACTCCCAAAGGCGGTCGGAGCAGCAGCAACAGCAGCTCCCAAGCTCCTAGAGCTGAAACTAGGGGCTGCAATGATTGGCTTTTTTCTTGAGCGTGCCCCCCTCTATTAGGGCTGTGGCATTTTCTGTTGGGCGCAACGAAGCGCGTCTGTTAACTGGGCTTGGCCTTAGTCGATAAGACGTTTTTTTGTTGTTTGTGGGGAGGGCTTAATTTTTATTAACATTAGAAGTGCACTTAAAATTTGTAATAAATGACTTTGCAATTGATTGGAAGCTCACGAATTTATATGCTCCATAAAGTTTGATACAGTTGAACGAGCAGCTATATAAATACTTGCACATAACTATGCCATATAAATGCCAAAAATTGCCTAATAATAAATATACAGCTATTAAATAATCATTCACATGCTCAAATGCCGCTGGAGAACATAAAAACATTATTGATTATTTGAATTAGTAAAAAGATATCAATTTGGTTTATGATGTTTTCCTCGACAGTTTCAGCCTAAGTTCTAAGTAGTTGCACGCTTTAGCAGCGATTTTTGCCTTCATTAACTCTTTGAGAATTATAAGCGATTGGAGACCTTTATAAATCTTCGAGATGTTTAGAGAATCTATACTTACAAAGTACCTACAAAGTAATTGATATATCTAAATGAGTTTTGTATCTAAATATTATTTACTATTCTGACCTGTTCCGAAAACTATTCAATATAATTTGAAAAAAAAAATATATATATACAGTCGTAGGCCCCATTTTAATTTTAGTATAAAAAGAACCAGCTATAGTTGAAAAGGCGATTATAAACTCGCATTTTCTTCTTATTATAATAAGTTAGTATTAAGGAAAGCTTCCAGTTTTTAACATATTTAAATTAAATAGATTATCTTTTTTTCTTTTTTTAAATAATAATCTATTGGGAAGGCTGTGTGGCTTCTGGCTTGCCCATCAGATATATATGAACCTATACCTGTACAATTTTCTTTTTAATAAAGTTCCTGTTGAAGTCAAATCTTTTTAACTAAACCGACAAAATTATATAAAAAAATAGTATTTGTGATTTTTAAAGAAAATATTTATACCGTATTGTACCATTTTTGAAGTTTTTCCAATAGATACTCGTGACATCTTCATATGAGCTGCTGTTTTATTGACCATTCATTTTGAAGACTTGTTTTTACTGCGGCGAGTGTATTCATATGCTTTGAACAAATTGCGTAAAACTTTTACGGATTTAACATGACAGTTACAGTACATGGTATCTAGGTGGACGACTGTGCACTTGCATACTATGTGCCATGTACTCATGTACCCATATACCATGTACCTTATACCAAATACCATGTACCTTGTAACACTATATATGGCTATTATAAAAGTTTTTTGTTTTTTTTTTATGCGTCTAGCCCCCATGGGCTGACGACTGTGGCTTCAAGTTTTTATTGCCGGGCGTTGTTTGACGTGAACCTGAACGAGAACACGGACTCCGATGTGGGCTACAGCTCGGCCGGGATGTGTTCTGTGGTTGGGCGTGTGCATGTGGTGGGCACGTGTGCTGCTCCCACAGGTGACGATGGCCTCGTTTATGAACAAACAGCAAAATGTTGTCAACATTTCGAAATTTATTTGTTCAATATACTTATAAACGTACACAGACAGAGACAAACGATGAGCATATGTTGACTGAGTGAGTGTGCGTGTATGTGTGTGTGTGTGAGTGTGTGTGTCTGGGGCTGTTGTGTGCGTGTGTTATTAAATTAAACACAGAGCTGCCATCAGCGTTGGGGCCAAAAGCATTCATTAGCCACGTTTAC